TAAGATTAATTAATCAATTCTTTATAAAAGAGAAAGATCAATGGGAAGTCACTCTGCCATAGCCTAACACATCACAAGGATGCGTGCTTTGAGTTGGTTTTTTTCCCACTCATTGAAAACAAAAAGAGAAGTTGATAAAAAATAATAATACCTACTTATGAGTATTGTTATTATAACTAAGTTAAATAATGCAAGGAAGCATTTGTTCAGGGTCTAGTGGGTAAGAAACAGTCCATGTTAGGTCTTAGTACTTTATTTTACTGGTAGAAAATTCATGCCTTTTAAAAGAGATAAAAATCAAAGAAATAACAGGTGCTGAGTCTCAAATTTTAACCCGGACCCCTGGCTCCAACGTCCAAGTCCTTTCCACTGGATCTACAGGGAAAGAAGCAAACATTTTTTCTAGCAAGAACTTTAGAACAGAGGTGGCCTTTGGAGGGTTGCCGTCCACTTTAGAGGTGAAAACTTCTGATTCCTTTGTTCACGTTTGAATGATGCCTCTTGATGAAGGACACTGAGCAAATGATGTAGAATCAGAAGGTAATGGTCCAGTTACTTACAGACACAAACTGGCAACAACCACATAGGTAAGGAATATAAATTATATGGTGAATATAAGTCAGAGCCTTGAGGCTTCCATTATTTGCTAATTATTTATACTATATGTCCCAGTCTGATCAAGTACAGCTTGGCAAGATAAATGTGTTTCTCAAATTTCTATGACTATTGTAATGTAGGGAGGTTCATATATAACCTTTCTGTTCATCTCACAGGATTATAATGAGGGTCAAATTGAAAAATGTGAAACTGTTGCTTTTGATAAAATGTCCATATCAGTTTTAGTTACTTTTCTCTCACTTAAAAATCCTGACACCTTACCCACAGAAAGTTTTCCCATGAGTTATCCAGGTTATTACTCCAAATTTTGACTTCATTTTTCATAGCAAGACACATCTTTGAAGAATGATTGTGTCCTTACTTGTACACTTAAGAGACATTCATCAAACGACATGTATGTGTGTACAAATAGGCAAGTAAAAGAATAATTAGGCTTTCTGTAAAAATTAAAAAATAAGTTGTTTTTTATGAATGACAGCTAACAAAAATAATTGAAAATTTTAATAAAACTAACAAATATAGAAGTGTGTATAGTACTATCTGTCCATTTGTTTACTTTGAAATAACCATCTTCATTATGTTTCCAGGGCACCAGACATTCCTAAACAGTGCTTGCATTACGAACTCCATATCCAGCTACAGACTGCCGTCAAGAAAACAAGACTATAAAACAAACCCTATGTTACAACAGTTATCAGTTTATCCTCAGATCAAAACAAGAGAGACGATGGAATGAAATGATGAAGAGCACCAGCTCCAGGTGCACAGAGACCTCGGTAC